CCGACGCCTTCCGCGCCACCCCCGAGTGGTACGTCGAGGATATCGCTGACTTCATGCTCTTCGCTGTACAGTAAGTTGATTTTTTATTTCTTTATGTTAATTTTACATCTTACTTATTATAAATGGTAAGGTTTTAGATAAATGCATTTTTAAACAGTTAACGTAATTGTTAATAGTATTATTAATTTAAACACTCCACTAGAGATCTGTCACGGATCCAATCCTTCTAGTAACATTGACAGCTGTCAGCTAGGGACGTGACGTCTATACCAATAATCTAGTGTTGCGCCAATTCTACAGCGCGGTACTAATTTTCTTCTTAACAGTATGTTTGTTAGAGTTTGTAGCCTAAACTGCTGAACAAATCTTGATGATATTTTATATCATTATTATAAAAGGAAGGTAAAAGATAGTCTGGAAAAAGACATAGGCTACTTGTTTTAGTTTTTTTTTTCTGTGCGGAAAGAGTCGCCGACGTAATCTAATAATGTTTTAATAGGAAAGTTTGAATGGATGAATGGATATTTGTTACTATTTCCAGAACGACTTTCCAAATCTTGTAAGTTCAGTTTATTTTGTTAAAAGTGCATTGACACTAATCACTCTCATAATATTTACATCATTATCTTATTTTAAACTGATTATAAGATAGGTCTGCACTAGTTTTATGCGATTTCATACTTTATCTTATCATGTTAAAGTCTACAATCTAATGATATCGATAACGCTTCTGATATAAGTAAATAAGAAAATATTTACTTAGTTATCTAATCCGTAAGCATCGTACATAAGTGAGAAAAAGGACTTAATTTACAGGGTATGGGACAAATAAATAAAATTTTGTTTGTTAGAGTTTGAAGCCTAAACTGATGAACGGATATTGATGAAAGTTGGTATAGATGTACAGGATAGTTTGGAAGAACCCATAGGCTATTTGCTTTTGTTTTTTTTTTAATTCTACGAGGACGTAGTCGCGGGCGAAAGCTAGTATGAAAAATATAATTTTGATTGTTTGCGTATAACGCCAATTTTAGGTGGTATTTAATCTATTTTC